TTTAATTTTTTTATAATAATTAATTGATATGTATTATTTTTATATATATAGTAATTTTGCACGTACAAAAATATGTTTTTTTTTTTTAACCGTTGCTCTTGCATTTTAGAAACTTCTCAATTTGGGGTTTTGAAAAAACAAAAATACTCTTTAAATGAATCAATCAAGGATGCTTGAAAATTCATTATTCTTACACGTCTCAGCTCTCAAAAGGGGTGGGTCTGAGCAGAACCATGGACCGGGCCGAACAAGTAAAGGTAAATATTAGGCCCGTTAAGTAAAGATGAATTGACACCAGCACACACGTAGGATGGCCCAAACGCATGTGTCAGCAGGTCTGGTAGGGTTTCCAACGTAGCTGTATAATAAGCAGAAGGCATAGTCTTTCCTTCTCCTTATTTTCTTTAGGTTTCTGGCCGCCGATATCTGCACGGATCGCCATGGGTCGAAGTAAGTTTCATCTAGAAGCTTTTGAAAGAGATGCATACCCTTGTCGACACCAAAAATCTACCCACGTACTTTGCTTCAGGAAGAGGTAATAACAACATACTGGTATATTCGTTTTCATTCATCTTCTTTCCAACTAATGTCAAATTGATTTAAATGTTAGTATAACTTGTCCAGTGAGGATTACGATAGATAACTATAACAGAAGAATCATCTTGATAAATTGAGTTGTACATTTTTTATTCTTAGGCCCCGTTTGGTATAGCGGTTTTGGGGTAACAGTTAGCAATATTACATAAACCGCTAAATATAAATGTTTGGTAAACTTATATATTTCGAAATCGTTATAAATAAAATGTTTGGTAAAATTTTTATTTAGTGGTTTGAGACTAGCAAATAGCGGTTAAAGTCCAAACCGTAGCGAATTGAAAAAGCTAATTTATGTAGCTTTTTGTACCAAACCACTAGTGGATTAGAATTTTTTAATGTTATTGACCAATTTATCCATTTTAATTTTTTAATTTTTGGTCACATTTTTTAATTAATATTTATCTAATAAATTTCAATTTTGTTTTTTACCTTTAATAACATTAAGTGATTATAAT